TGCAGTTGGGGTTTCTAAATTTTAAATATATCTCAGAAGATATTTGTCACAAAGGAGATGAGATTTGTGTATGTAATTCACAGTTTATTCTAAAGCCATTGGTGGTATTTCTCTTTATCTCCTGTTTGCAAGGGTCCTGTTCTCCATACCCTAGTTCTTGAAGATTAGAAAAAGTTGACGGTGTAAACTAACGCCAGCATGGTTCATAATCGCTTATTACCTCAAGCGTGTGTGTGCTTTGGTTTTTAATACATTGTTGGGCCCGTTTGACAAGTGTGGGGGTTTGTATTTATAAAACTATGAAATTAAAAATTGATGATTTATTTTTGTTTTATATATATTGATTCACTGCGATGGACTGGTGACCTGTCCAGGGTGTATCCCGCCTCTCGCCCATTGACTGCTGGAGATAGGCACCAGCACCCCTCGCGACCCCACTTGGGACAAGCGTGTAAAGAAAATGGATGGATGGATGGATATATTGATTCATTTGTATACGTTTATGCCATAAGCTAAATTGCAAATGCATTTATCCATTAGGGCTGCTCAGTGGCATGGTGGGTAGCACTGCTACCTTGCAGCAAGAAAGTTCTGAGTTCAATTCCCGGCCTGGGGTCTTTCAGCATGGAGTTTGCATGTTCTCCCTGAGCAGGTGTGGGTTCTCTCTGGATACTCCGACTTCCTCCTGCAGTCCAAAAGCATGACTGTTAGGTTAATTGGCTTCTCTAAATATTCCTTACAGTAGGTCTGAGTGTGTGCATGAATGGCTGTTTGTCCTGTGTTGCCCTGTGATGGACTGGCGACTTGTCCAGGGTGTACCCCGCCTCTCTCCCATTGACTGCTGGAGATAGGCACCAGCACCCCTTGCGACCCCAATTGGGACAAGCGTGTCAGATAATGGATGGATGGATTTATCCATTAACTCTAAAGCTAAATTAATTTTAAAGATCAAAAAATTGATATATGAGTGAAATGAAAGAAGGGTTTAAAGACTGGTGAGGTGGATGACTGAGATGAGAGGGAAACAAAAAAAGGAAAATATTACTCAGATAATTTCCGAGAGATGAGGAAGATATGGTAGATTACCATTCTGAGTGTGATTAAAGGAGGATAAAACTAGCAAGGAGCACTAGTGCGGTAAAATAGACTCAGAACAAGCCATGGGGAGGATGTGGCTAAAATTATCGTTACAAAGAAATGAGGACCACAAGGGAAGTGAAAAAGAACTGTAATAAAGAAAATTATGTGGGTAAACCCTTATTTTAAAGAGGGGAAAAAAGGAAGATCATGATTTTAAAGGCCTGAAAAAAGGGACAAAGAGGAAAAAAGGTTTGTACTGAAGGAGGAGGACAATTAGTCTAACAGGAAATGTAGACGTCTGGTTCAATTTGCATGTTTTCTATGCCAAAACAAGACTTTGTTTTTGGTCCATTGTATAAACCCCAAACTCAACACTATTTCTGACATTTTGAATTAAAAAAGCTTCCTGGATGGGAAGTGAAATGTCTTCAAACTTGGAAACAAAGTCCAGTGGATTGTTTTTTAACTTTTTTGAAGGGAGCCACAAAAGAAAATCAGGAAAATAAGTAGGGTGTCATACAGCAAAATTAGAAATATGAATATGATGGTCAGTGTCTGTAAAGAGGAATGAACATGGTTTTAGTGAAGGATGAGGATTTGTAAAACACTCAAAGACTCAAAAGGATAAGAATGTCCGTGATTGAGGCATACATTTTAGAGAGAGGAAATTGAGGTGGATGAGTTAGACTCAAGGTGTTTTAAATTAGAGATAAATTGGATTAGAACAATCTGGAAGGATAATGAAGACTTATGAGGATGATGATTAGGAAGGGGATGTAGAAGTGTTGAAAGGTTAAGGCCAGACAACGGCCATGCTCTGATCATTTAGCCTATACGGCGATAATCAAAAGTATATTTGTTTTTTAAGATGCAAAATGTTACTTTTTGTGGTTTGTTAATCCCTTTATTTAGCAGAGCTCTCAGACATGAGAACATTAGGTTGAATCAACATTCATGTGTTTAAAACCTCCCATCCTCAGAAGGCATATCACCTCCCTGGCATCGTCCCAGAGGGAACAGTGCATCAGTCAGCCCCTCCTTACCAGGCTTCTCATCAGGTGGTTGACTGATACACTGCCAAGAAAAGATCTGCTGCTATACAGCATGACATGTATAGAACTCATTTTATGAGGTGTATTATGCAAGTAAAACGTATGCTTCTAAAAGGCCTTAATATTTAGGTAAAACTAAGCCAACTTTTTTTGAAGACTAGGGTTAGGTGCTGGGAGCAACATGCTGTGGGGGTGTTTTTAACTCCCAGTCTGCACTGAAATGATTGATTCATTTCTAAATGTACAGATTATCCAGCAGCTCCTTTTGTACTTCCATCAGGTCTCCTGCAGGCAAAAGACAAAAATAAAAGTGGCGAATTAAACCAGCTGGAATTGGTTGAATTCACTAATGAAACTTCAGCCAATCATCTCGTCAGCTTTTTCTGACATGTGAGCTGCATTTGACATTAGAATAACTTGCTGTAAGAAGAAGTGTTTAAAGGAAAAAAGAAACAAAGGCAACATGGAGGTGTAGATAAAAAAAAAGCCCAACAAATCACTGTGAAAGGTGAGTCTGAAAGCCTTCAGTTTCCTGACAGGTGCCCCAACACACACCAACAGCTCTGAAATGTCACAGTATGCTAATGATTCATGATTATAACTGGCTGCTTCTCAAACAATGTTCACTCTGAAACCATGGAGGGATTTTTTTTTTCATAGTTGGGACTTTAAATTCAAATCATTTTCTGCTTTAAGTCATCAGTAAGTAAACGTTTATTACAATGAGTAGCGGCTTTGCAAGGAGGACACCATCAGCATTTAGATTGCTTTCATCATGCTGATCTGATTTCCACTGGGGATAAAATCTCCAGGGTAAATTAATTCTGTAAAAGAAAGATGACATGACTGATGATTTACCCAGTATCCACAGGTGCATATGTATCACCGGAATCTATCCTTAGATTATATGTTCAATATGTGAACTGAGTCGGATTTTCATTTAAAGTGACTTGATATGACCTTTGCTGTGAATTACATTATGGAAAAATTGAACTTAACTGATTTGATTGGTTGCAAATGCAGAAAATTGTGATGGGGAACCTCTTTTTAAATAATTCATTAAATATACATTAAAGTATTTTATGAAAAGAGTAAATGGTATAACATTTTAAACTCCTAAAACCTATAATAATTATAATGTAAACATTTATCTATATATTTTTAACACGCCTGCCATATTTGCCAGGCATTTCCCAACAGATTTGCTTTCACAAGTGGACCATATGTGTATAAAACTTTATTGGAAGCGGCTTTGGGAAAGAAAAAAACATGCTATACATACGGAAACGGAACGGAAGGCGAGAAAGAAGGAGAGGAGAGATAGATAGAGAGATCAAAGGAGAACAGCAATATCTAACACATAGAAAACTCTTACATACAGAATAAGTCCTTGCTGCCTGATTCCACATCTGCAAGACATTGGTTGCAAACATTTCCTGGTGCAGCAGGAATTTCCTTTCTGGGATTCAAAGTTCTGTTTATATGTTGGAGATTGATCTTGTGTTTATTTTCTCTATAACAAATGCAAGATTTCAAACGTTTCTCATGTGCAAAATCTTATCTTAATCTACAAACTGTTACACTAACGCGACACATTGTCTCATATTAGATCCCAAGTAAATACTGACACCATGTGGCCAGTTGTAGGTACTGGGTCATATCTAATCTGCGCAAAACGGCTCTAAACTGGTTTTAACAACTCAGGATGGCAGGCAGTTAGAAGAACAACTGTTGCACATAGCAGTTTCTATGGCACTACACTTTAATATTTTCTCTTTCTTGTGGTTTGGCCAACCTGAAGGAAATACTACCAGCAGTTCAACAGTCTTAATTTCAATGATCTAGATATAGATGTTTTTCAAAAGCAATGCTCATTCTGATGTAACTTTTATGTGTATGTTACTGCTTTGGAAAACAATAGAAGACAAGAGAAACAGGTTTCACTGCATACTTTCCGTAGCTGAAATATGCACCATCATGTTACCAACCAACAGCACAGTGGAAAAAACCCTTCAGAGCATATTTGGTGTCTATAATCTCCAGAGGTTTCTTAAGCTTGAACCAAACAGCTTGATCTAAAACCAAAAGGCCGAAGGTGAAGCAAATAATGACGACATGGTTAGGATCTCAGCTTGACTGAAATGCTGCAGAGCATGGGTTCCAAAACATTTCAGCTGTTGATCAACACAATAACACCACGGCCAACTGATGACCGAAATTATTGGAGCAGTATATGAGCATTTCCACAAAAATCAGTAAATCATGGATGTAATACTTCTACAAACTGCAATAACTGTTTATTTTGAAGTGACATTTTTCATCATTAAGCATTTTACATAAACGTGCTTCACGTAATTCTTTTTATTGTATAGCTGAATTCCATTAGTCATTAAAACCTGCAAGGACCCCACATGGATTTCCAACCCTAACTTTGGGAATCAGTGCCGTTTGCATCTTATCATATTAATTATTCATTTTCATTTATTTTAATGCCACGCCAATGTACTTTTTTCCAAGTGTGTTTTCCTATTATGTTTTGTTAATGTTCAGCACATAAAACTGTCTTGTTACTGAAATGTGTAATACAAATAAACTTGCCTCACATTGCCTTGCCTTGCACAAAAGAGCTGTGCAGAAGTTAATGTCTGCAAACCTCAGAGAATCCCTGCCTCCCTTAGAGTCTCTACTCCTACAACGAAGAAAGTTGAAAGTGTCTCCAAAACCTGCTCCACCTGACTTTCATGTTGTGTTTGAAAAAATGGAGGGGATGTTTCGGCCCATTCAACCCTACAAACCAACTGATCCAGTTTCGGTTGAAGAATGCTTTTTCTCAGCTTATGTGCAGTCTAAGCTGACATGAGGTGAAAATATCCCAGGTTTTAGGTGTGAAATTAGAGCTCTAATTTGATTGAAATCTAATTACTGTTGGTGGAGGGCTGGTTTGTTTGCTAGATTGTTAAATGTTATTCTTGTGCTTGCTTAAGACCTGAAAGTGGGAGGACACACCCTTTGGAGGTGACAAAGATAACTCAGCTGTCAGGAGGACAGACTCATTGTAAACACAGAGATCAGTAGTGGAGGCTGCTGGGACTTTTCAACATGTCTGCTGCAAACTACGCAGGTAAGAGATCCATCAGAAAATGCACTTGTTGTTTTTTGGTTATTCTTAGTTCAGGCTGACATATTTGACCTCAGAATGTGGCCTCTGGTTTGGTTCAGATGTGCCCATCTAAGCAGTACGCTACCTTGTAAGAAGTTGTTGGGATTTAGAGAAAATCAGTCTTGTTGTTTTTGTGGAAAATCATAAACTCTATGTACTACTTATGTCTGAGATGTTTTCAGCCAACACGGGCAGCTGCTGGTTTACCTGCAGAGCATGAGGAAAAGTTTATATTGACACAGTAGATTTGGTCATTAGTTTGCTGTCTAAATGTTTGAGACTGAAAAATCCAGTAGTTGTTTGAAGTTTAGAGCTAAGTTAAAGAGCCCAGAAAGGGGTTAAAAGCTATGATTTTTTTGTAGTTCTTGGTCGGGTTTAAAACTCCTGCTAATTTTTTTCGTTTTTTGCTAAAGGATACTGTAATAAATCATCCTCTTTTTGTTCAGTAGTTGTGCCTTATATCACGTCTTATGTTGTTTCTGATAATTTAGCACTCAGCTTGTAAAGCAAAAATGTACTAAACAAGTCCACACCCATACATAACTACATATACATTTATATATATATATATACATATATATATGTGTATGTATGTATATGTTTCTTTTTCTTTTTTTTTCTTACCCTTAAACTGAAAGAAAAATACGTCTGTTTATCTTTCGGATGCCAAAAATAGTTTACACATTCTAACTCTCTATAAAACCATGACATAAGCATGACACAGCAATGTGTTTTTGTGTGTTTTTTTTTTGGCAACGGTTAAAGAAAGGCACCTGGAGGAATAAAGGCTGAACATGTGTATTACACATAAGCAGACAATGATTCACACAGAACAAAAAAAAAGGCTTACATTTTTTCTAAAGTTTCTTCCCTGCAGAAAGAATAATTCATAAGACATTAATGTGAACAACAAACTTTATAAATCACAATAAGAATATATTAAGGCATGCTGTTCTAGTTTTATTTCAGATCGTTTTAATCCGAGCATATCAGCAGTATGATTTTGCATTTCTTTAGGTTCCAAAAAAGTCATAAATTAAAAACTAGCTGCACAAAAATCTTTTACAAAAAATCGCAGAAACAAAGTTATGTTTTTTTACCTATTAGGATATGCAGTTCCATGAAAAACTCTTTGTTCCCTTACATATGCAATACTTTCTTTTTATTTTTTATAACTAAATTTTTCAGAGCATTACTTTTATATAAATGTATTGAGCTTATTTTTTAAACTAAATGTTTTAGAGCATTACCTAAATATAAATATTATTCGCCTTCATGTTAGATCCTGAATTCACTATCTATACCTGGAGTTTTAAGAAAATGGACTTTGATCCACCTTATTTGTTATCCATTTCTAGGCATTAGCATGAAGATATTTAACAGTTAACTAAAGAGAAACTAATCTGTGTGATGGGAAATCTGAATCTCCCACTATGTTATCTGAAGAACCTGATAACTTGAAGTAGGCCAAAATATCTTCAAAGTAAAAATATCATGTCATCATCAGACATATATGAATGAAGAATAGATAAAGAGCACAGTCACGGATATCTGTCACTCTGGAAAGACTTGAAATAGCCATTTGCAAACCTTTTGGACACCACCTAATGATGATTATCTAAAAAGGAAGAAAATATGAAACTGTGGTGAACCTTTTCAGAAGCCCCCAAAAAAATTAAAGCAAACTTTCAGTTGCGAAATTACAAGAAGAATCTCGCTGGACAGAACCTATGTAACAGTTCCAGGGTGAAAACTACTGTTAAGCAAGAAGAACACGGACCCATCTCACGTCTCCTGGG